CCTATCCATCCATCCATCCATGCAATGATCCATCCGTCCATCCATCCAACCATTCACCCACCCATGCATCCACCCATGCATCCATCCATCCATCCGTCCATCCACCCATTCATCCATCCATCCATCCATCCACCCATCCACCTATCCATCCATGCATCCACCCGTTCATCCACCCATCCATCCATCCCTCCTTCCATCCATCCACCCATCCCTCCCTCTGTCCATCCCTGCCTCTCTCTGCACTCACAGCCCTCAGGAGATCACAGGATTTTTGGACACTCCTTTCTCTGGTGGCTCAGCCAGATGGATTTATCCACGGATGACTTTCCTGAGCCGCAGCCTCTTGGCTCTCCTGCTGTTTTGGGGGATCTCTGAGGACCTCAGGCCTGATTTTTAATGGTTGTCCCATCAGTGGGAACTGTGAGTGCTCAGCAGGAGGGATTGTCAGTCTTGGGGAATCACACACCAGGAATTTCAAGTGGAGACACCAAGAGGTCAGACATGACCCTCTGGGAATAGAGGAGATGCTGGAGGCAAGGTTTTTGCTCCAAGAAACAAAACACGAGGCAGAGGAAAGGGAGGGAGAGGATTCCAACCTGTAAATTTAAGGACATTTACACTTCAAAAGTGCAAAAAACAGAACAATGGAAGGGACACAGAAAGACAAATGTAGCAATAAACTGGGTGCCAGGGATTCACTCCATGGACTTTGCAGAAAATCTCCAGGATCCTTTTCCTAAAGTGCCTGCACAGGGTGAGGCAGCAGCACAAGAAATGCACACAGGGGGATTTTTTAGGGATAACTCTTCTCTCCTGGGTATTTTGTTGTTGCCTGGACCCTCAAACACAGCACAGGATTGGTGGGAATGGGAACAGTGTCTCTTGTGAAGGGCAGGACAGGTTTGAGGGGAACAAATAGGTGTCAAATACACCCAAAGCCCTGAAACAATCCATCTTTCAAACCTCAAACTTCGCTCTAGTGGGTGAATATCCAACATCTCCCAGACAGGCTTGTCAGCCCTTCAACAAGAGCAGTTTCCCATCAATATAAACGGGAATATCAGCAAAATTTAACACATTTAAGCTTCTGGTACCTCAGTCTGCATTGTGCACCTATTTTTCATCAAGAGTTGAATAAGAGTGAGGAGGAAAGAGGTGATGCTTCCTCACCTTCCCAAGCCCTCAGCTCCCCAAATTCCCAGTGCAGCGGGTCAGGTATTTTCCCTGCAGTGCCCCCAATCCCAGGGATTGCAGAGCAGGGTGCATTCCTTACAAATGTGGCTTTGTAGGCAGAGCTGGGCCTGAGTGGGGCCCTGTGTTTAATTATTTATGCTTTCTTATATTACTGCTGCGTTTGGAGGTGCCAGCCCAGAGAAGGCCCCCGTTGTCCCCGTGAGGAGCAGACAGACATCCCCGCTCCACCCCCAGCCCAGGAAAGCGCCCGTGGTCAGGAAAGCCTTTAAGCACCCTAATGAGACTTAAGTGCATGCTGAAAGTTAAGCCTGGCCTTATTCCTGCCCAGCCCCAATGAGCTTAGGCTGTGAACAGCATATTTACAGTCCCCGGTGATAAATGTCGCCTTTATTTATTTTTTAATGTTTTATTTTTTATTTTTTTTTCCCACCTGAAAGGGCCTATTCTTCCCGATTTGTGGAAGCTACTGTGGATTTGATCCTGCCTTTTAAGGGAAGCCAGTAGGGGACTCAGTTGTACAAATAACTGGACCCTATAAAAATAAATAGGAGATTGCATTTGGATATTGGGGAATTTCTTTTTCTTTTTTTATGAGGATGATGATGCCCCAGTGTAGCTGTGCTGAACTAAGGACGGTTCATTTGGGAGAGAACCTTTGGCTGCAGCATTTTGGGAGCGTTGCCCTAAATTTGAGCGTTTCTGGGCTTCAAGCAGCAAGTCTGGCACACTTAACAGAGCTGCTGACCCATCCAGCCCTGAGCTGGGAGAAATGGGCTGAGCCCCACTCCAGATCCCCCTCTCACTGCTGGGAAGGAAGGGAGAAAATGCCTTGGGAAAGGGGTGTTGCACAAAGCCACTGGAATCACAGAATCCCAGAATGGTCTGGGTTGGAAGAGACCTTAAAGATGATTTAGTTCCCACCCCAGTGGAGCACCTTCCACTAGCCCAGGTTGCTCCAACCTGGCCTTGGACACTTCCAGGGATCCAGGGGCAGCCACAGCTGCTCTGGGAATTCCATTCCAGTCCCTCCCCACCCTCCCAGCCAGGAATTCCTTCCCAATATCCCACCTAAATTTATCCTCTTTCAGCTTAAAACCATTTCCCTGTGTCCTGTCCCTCCATCCCTTGTCCCCAGTCCCTCTCCAGCTCTCCTGGAGCCCCTTTAGGCCCTGCAAGGGGCTCTCAGCTCTCCCTGGAGCCTTCTCTTCTCCAGGGGAACCCCCCCAGCTCTCCCAGCCTGGCTCCAGAGGAGAATTCTCTGCTTCCAGTGGAATGAGTGGGATAAATCAGGTCTCAGTCCCTCCTTCAGGTGCTCCAGGCTGTGTGTGGAAAGCAGAGACAGAGGAAAGGCACAGCAGGACCTGAGGATTTATCCTGTGCAATCCATGACCCATTTGAGGCCCAGAGCAGCTGTTTCTCTCCCAAACATCCATCAGGAGGCAGGTTAAACCTGGATCACTCCTGGCCAGCAGGTTGGAAAAGCAAAGTGCTGTGTTTGGAAAGCCAGGAGGGTTCAGTAAGGTGGATGTGTCCAAACCATGGCATTTACCTTCCAGAAATCGTTCCCTGCCACTGGCTGGGCACCATGAGGGCTACAGGGGAGGGCTGGGATGGAGATCAAGGAATCACAGAATCGTTTAGGTTGGAAAGGACCTTTAAGACCATCCAGTCCAACCATCCCCAGCGCTGCCAAGGCCACCACTGACCATGTCCCCAAGTGCCACATCCACAGGGCTGTTAAATCCCTCCAGAGATGGGGACTCCACCCTGTGCCAGGGCTGGACAGCCCTTCCCAGGAGGAATTTTCCCAATATCCAGCCTGACCCTCCCCTGGCACAGCCTGAGGCCGTTCCCTCTCCTCCTGTCCCTTGTTCCCTGGGAGCAGAGCCCGACCCCCCCCCGGCTCCCCCCTCCTGTCAGGGGGTTGCAGAGCCAGAAGGTCCCCCCTGAGCCTCCTTTGCTCCAGGCTGAGCCCCCCCAGCTCCCTCAGCTGCTCCTGCTGCTCCAGCCCCTTCCCAGCTCCCTTCCCTTCCCTGGATATTCTCCAACCCCTCAATGCCCTTCTTGACATGAGGGATCCAAAACTGATGGTGCTCCTCAGTGTTGACCCCTCATCTCACACCAGACCTTATTTAGTCCACTCTCTGCACCATTCCCACCTCCAAGGCATCTTCCCTGGCTACAGATGACAGTGAGGACAAGACACAGAATTCCCAAACTCTTCCTTCTCACACCAGACACCCCCTCAGCAGATTGTCCTTCTTGTCTTGAGGGGCCCAAAACTGAACCAGGTCAGATCTCAGATGTGAGAGATGAGCCTTTCCTAACCTGAATATTGGAAAACTGCTCCTGTGCCCTTCCTCTACCCCCCTTCCCCTGGACTTCTGGAGTCAAATCCCCCTTCTGACCCCTGCCCTGTGTTCCTTGCAGGCCTCCCAGCTGTATTTGTCACAGCGTGGGCCAGCGTGAGAGCCACTCTCGCCGACACAGAGTAAGTCCCACTGGGTTTTCTGCTCTTCCTTTCACTTGAGAAGCTTCTGTGGGGCTTGTGGGCGAATTCCAAGGGAAAAAGGAACCAGGCGAAGCCAGAAGTCAACTATGGAGTTAGGGAACTCTTGAGGGAGGCTTAGGGGGGTGTGTTATGGCAGGGAAGGATAAAGGTTCCGAACTTTCACTTGGTTCTCCGTGATTTGCCATGAAACGGGAACACCTGCAGCTGTTATCCCAGGGGATAAGAGGGATCATTTCCCAGCTGGGCAGGGACAAGGCCTTTGAAGTCCTGAATGAACAGGAGGGGATTTGGGACACGGCAGGTTCAGCACAGCCAGAGGAGGTTTGGTGTTGGGGAGGGGGTGAAGGTGGAACTCCTCCACACAGGTCATGTGGATCCCAGGATCCCACAACGTTTGGGTTGGGAGGGACCTTAAAGCCCATCCAGTTCCACCCCCTGCCATGGGCAGGGACACTTCCCACCATCCCAGGCCCCATCCAACCCAGCCTTCCCCCCCCTAAAGCACAGGTCTGACCACACAGCAGGTTCCATCTGCCCCCAGGAGCGTGGGGGTCCCCAGGAAACATCCCCAGTGGCTTTGCCTGGGAAGACACTGCTTTCCAAGTGGGATTTCAGCTCCAGGTTTGGAAGGCTGGGTTAGCAGAGCTGCTGGAGCACACGGAATCATCCCAAGGGGTTACCAGAGGATGGTGGTTGGGGTTGGAAGGGATCTTTAAAGGGCATCCAGTCCAAGCCCCCTGCCAGGAGCAGGGACACAGCAGGGATCCAGGACCCCAAGGGGCCTACAAGGAAGCTGGAGAGGAACTTCATCAGGAACTGTAGTGACGGGACAAGGGGGAAAGACTGGCTTCAAAGACACAGAGTATGTTTAGATTAGAGTTTAGGAAGGAATTCCTGGCTAGGAGGGTGGAGAGGCCTTGGAATAGGATTCCCAGAGAAGCTGTGGCTTTCCCTGGATCCCTGGAAGTGTCCAAGGCCAGGTTGGAGCAACCTGGGCTAGTGGAAGGTGTCCCTACCCATGGCAGGGGGTGGGACTCAACGATCCTTCATGTCCCTTCCAACCCAAACCATTCTGGGATTCCATGTTCCTAAGTCATGACCCAGGAAAGCTGGATTACTCCAGTTTTTTTCCTGGTAAGGAGGTGAAGAAGAAGTGGAAAAAGGGCTGGTTCCTGCCCGGAAGGGGCAAGTCTTCCTGGCTGTGGAAAGAGCTGTTCCACCCCCTGGAGAGCACAAACCACCCCTGCCGTGGCTTTGGAGCAGGAAAAGGGCCATTCCAAACCCACCAAGGTCCTTCCACCACACCAGGCTCTGGAAGGAACCCACCCTTCCAGGGGGGGATTTATCCCAGGAGACACTGGATCCGTTGCTCTCCATCCCCTCTGATTTCCTGACGGAACATCCATCTCTCCTCAGGTGTTGGGACTTGAGTGCTGGCAATTTAAAATGGATTATTCAGGTGCCCATCCTGGCAGCTATCGTGGTGAGTACCCGCTCCTGGCAGGAGAGGCAGTGCCTGTGGTGGGATGGGAAGAGCTGAGCCAGGATTCCCCGCTCTAATAATTAATAACAATCTACCCTTAATAATGTGGGGTCTTTATATACCTAATTTAAGGGCCTTATTTTTTGACCTGCCTGGAAATTTGACAGTTCGACAACACAGGGCTTTGAGAGACTTCAAGTTTTGCTCAGGAGAGAAAAATCCCACCTTTTTGACCCTAAAATCCAACATTCAAACAAGTATTTCCAACCCATACCACACTGGGAGCTCTCAGGGGTCATTCTGACCACCAGTGGGAAGAACTGGAGTCTGGGGTCTGTAGCTGGAGCAAATCTTTTCTCCAAGAGTGTTTCAGTGTCATCAGATTGTTCCAGATTCATCTTGTTGAGCTGATAAAAAGCTTGGGAAGCCTCCAAGGTGGGGAGGGAAGTCAAACCATCCCAGCCGTGATGGGACACCTCAATCACTGAGGGGGGGGTTATTCCAATCCCTCCCAGGAGCCAGAGGGGACAGAAAGGATCCAGGGATGTTCTCCAGGCCCAGGGCTGAGCTCTCCAAAGCCAGAGAGCTCGTTATAAAACGGGATTATCCGCACAAAGGGAATCCAGGGGCGGGTTTGTGTTTGCTTGAGCAGTGTCCCAGCGGGGTGGAGAACCTGCTTTCCCAGATTTCCTGAATCACCCTTGAGTGAGGTGTTTGGGGCTTTGGGGATGGGGGGGGGCTCAATTTCTCCCCTTTGGTGGAAATTCTCCCCGATTCCTTCTGCACCTCGGGAAGAAACGGATCCCCCCAGCCCACAACGTGGTCATTCCACTGGGAATGAAACCCTGGGATGGAGAAGCAAGTTCAGGCGGTTCAAGGGGATGAATTCCAGCAACCCCCTTGCATTTCATGTGAAGCCCAATTAGCAGAGCAGAAAGAGCCCAGTTGAGGCTGAGCCCTGTGCAAACGCTGCTGCTGCAGGAGGCTGTTTGCAAAGGCAGCCATTTATCACCCAAACAGATCCTGTGGGTTGTTCCTGTTTAGCTTCTGTGGGTTCACATTGTTCACTTGGCTGCTTTCTCAGTTCCCTCACTGGCTGCTCAGATGTTGCTGCACTGAGTTGTGCATTTTCTGGATGTGCTTGCAGAGAACTTGGAGGCTGAGGGGCTTAAAATCCTTCTCTCCTCTGCTGACTTTGATGTTATTCCATTGCCTGGATTTCTTTTAAGATTTAGCACGGTTCAGGAAATCAGTTTCCCTCCTAGTTGTGGTGAGGTTGGACATCTTTGATTTAGCCAGAACAAGATCCCACTTCGGAGCCTTTGAAGCCAAAAACACTCGTATGAGAAATAAATCCTGCTGGGGGTTTTATTCCCTTTCAGATTGGTTTCCAATGGAAAGGAATTATCTGCTCCCAGGCTCTGCCTGGGGGTCTGTCCATCCCTCCCTCACAACTCCCGTGCCAGGCACTAAATCCCAACCAAAGGGAACTCGGGGAATGGGCTTTCCTGGGTGTTAAATTCCCACAAAATGGTCAAACAGATACAGGAGAGAAATTTTCCTGGTGGCCCTTCAAGGGAAAGGGTGTGGCAGGAGCTTCCTCCCTCTTTTCCAGAGGGGAACTCGTCAAAAATGAACTTGCACCTCGTTAAAGGCGAAGGAATCCAACCCCAGGAGACAAAGCCATGGCAAAACCAGGCCCTGCTCATCCAGCAGCTCAGGGAACTCCTTGTACCAGCGAGGATAATTATCCATGGGGACAACTTCCCAAGGGTTGTGGTGGGATTTCTGTCACAGAAATCCAGGAGAGTCAGATCTGCTCTGAAAACAGGGAGGTCTCCTGGGCTGGGCTGTGCCAGAGATCAAACCAGAGGGTGACAATGGTCCCTTCTGGCGTGAAATTCCAAGCCTGTGTGGCTGTTTGGTTCCTTGGAATGCTGCTCCGGGGGCATCTGGGAGGTCAAATGACTGCTGGGAGCTTCCAGAGGAATTCCCAGGCCACAGCATTGCCCAGGAACAGGGATGTGCCCGGTGCAGTCCCACGGTGGGGCTGCATCAGTGCCATGAAGGGGGTTGGCTGGGCCAGCTGCAGGTGGAATCCAGGGAAACCAGCCCCTGAGGAGCTCCAAAAACCCGAAAATCTCTGGAATGTCAACCTGGTTTTCCTCTCCTTTAAGGAGGCAGGAGATGTTTTGCCATTAAATTTTGCTGTGTGAGCCACCAGGAGCACGTTGCTGGAGGGCAAGGTTGGATTCACGGGGTCATTAAGGCTGGAGAAGTTCTCTGAGGTTGAGCCCAACGATCCCCAGCACTGCCAAGGCCACCACTGACCACGTCCCCAAGTGCCACATCCACAGAGCTCTTAAATCCCTCCGGGGACGGTGATTCCACCACTTCCCTGGGCAGCTATTCCAAGGTGGGACCATCTGGATTAGCCTGGTTGGGCAGTTAACCACGAGCTGGGTTCAGAGATGTGTCTCCCAGCATCAGAAGCAGATATTCCTCCCTGGTTGTCCCGGTGTGACCCACACCCAGCCCCTCTCCAGGGAAGAGCTGGGGGTGGAGCACAGCAGAGGTTTGACAGTCCCGTCACCTCCACTCAGGTCCACTCTGTGCCTCCATCACGGTGCATTTGGCTTGTTCTCCTTTCATTTTCCACGTGGAAACGTGGAAAGGCATCCTACTAATGCTCCTGGTGTCCTGGGAAGGTTTGAATCTCAGCCGGGCTGCGAGAGAAAATTAGAACTTCATTTGGGTCTTTTCCCTGGATTTGCCCAGTTTCCAGGTGCCTGCTGGGCTGGCTGGCTCAGATTTGGGGGTTTTCCATGTGAGATGTCCTCACCTTGTCAGAGAAAGCCATTCCTTTCTCTCTCCCAAGGGTAAACCCTGGTAAAATCCCGCCAAACAGGTCATTCCCAGGAAGTTCATCCCTTCCACAGGAGGAGCTTCCTCCACAGCCACTGCCTCGACTCCCCCAGGGGAACGAACCAACTAAACCCCTCTGCCACCACCTGGATGTGTGTTTTTTAACAGCTCTCCTTTCTTTGTTGTTGTTTCTTCTTTTTTTTTTTTTTTTTTTTTTTTTTGTCCTTGCAGGTAAATTTTATTCTTTTTATCAATATTATCAGAGTCCTCGCCACCAAACTACGGGAGACGAACGCAGGGAGGTGCGACTCGAGACAACAGTACAGGTGGGTCCCACAAAATCCATGGCAGAGAGGGATTAATTAATTAATAAATAAATTAATTCATTAATTAATTAACTGACACTATTGACATTTGCCAAGCTTGTTTCCCTCAGGGGGAAAAAAGTGGGATCTGACCATATAGTGTAAGAGGAACGTGAATTTTAGAGTTGATTGTCCCTATTTTCCTTTAAGTAAACTCATTTTCCTTTAAGTAAACTAATTTTCCCTGTTTCCCATTTGCACACACCCTTTGTCTGCTCCCTTTGCATTCACTGTGGTTCAGCAGTTGGGGGTTATAATTCAGATTTGTGGCTGATATTTCTTAGGAGTTTTTGCAGAATGTAATTCTTCCATCAGATTTAGTGGTTTTGGTGATTTTTTTCAAGGGATTATTATTTTTTTTTTTTTTGCTAAAGATGCATTTTTAGTGTCAAGACTTTATTTAGCGACCAGTGAAACGCCACGTGGGTGGTTGATTTTTTTTTTGTCACCTCTCAAATAAAGAAAAGAAAAAGATTCTGTATTAACATTTTCTATGATGTTCTTAAAGTCTTGGTACGTTTATTTTTCCCAAGCTTGTTAGGAAAACTCTCATCTTGCACACTGTGAACAAAAAAAGACTGGAATATTTTGTGAGGGTAATTCTATCACCTCCACAGACTGATTCTGTGGTGGACATGTGGCTGTTCAACCTCTGGCTACGTGTTTAACTGAGGAAAAGTGTAGCTATAAAGTTAAATTTTAGAAGGTGGTAGGAGCATATCACCCTTGCCAACCATCTGTGAAACTTCTTGGTTTGGAATCCAGACTAGCAAAGGCAGTTCCATCCGTGGTTCCCTACAAAAGCAGCCTGGATCATCTGCACTTTTTGGGAGAGGACAAAGCCCTCATTTCACCCCCGTGGCTTCAGAGGAAGCCCGGGGTGAGCAGTTCACGGGGTCTGCAGCCACCTCAAGCAGGGTGGGGAGGATGTTGTCTCCCAAATCTGGTCCTGCAGAACGAGTCAACAGTTTAAACATCTCCTCAGCCCTTCCACCCCAACCTGGAGGACCTTCCTGGTAGGTTAGAGAGGAATTCAGGCTCTCCAGCCAGTGTAGAAGTGACTGTGCTGCTCTTGAGCCGAGAGTGCAGAAATGAAAGCCTTGCTTATTGTTGTTGAAGCCTCTAAAACGTGTATCCGTTGCCTCATTTCCATTTATTTCCCTCCTGTGCTTTGTGAAATTTGGTCTGTTTGTTAAATCTGCCCTTCAGCGGGTGTTTGGTGCCTTTGCTGAGATGACAAAGACATTCCAGACTCTTTGCTGGCGTTCCCTTGTTTGTTGTGTTGTGTTTTCCCGTGTTCCGCCAGCTCTTCTCTCCTGATAATTTGGGTTATTTGTAGCGTGGTCAAAACCAGATGGAGAAAAAAACAGATTACTGAGACACCTCTGGTGCTTGAGAGCTCCCAGGGCTTCCCAGAACATCCAGGACTGACCAACAGGACCCATGGAAAGGGGGGAGAGCAGAGTGATGGGGGCTGCAAACCATGAGCTCGTTGCTTCCCCCTCCGAACACCCCCCGTTTCTTTGGAGGCAGGAAAGGACATTTTGGCAGGAAAACACCTCCCCATTTTTTAATATTTTTTTTTCTGCCTTGTCAGGGCTCTGATTTATCTGTTTATTTACTTCTGCCTGGCTGACACTCGCTGTTAATCATGGTTTGGATGGGGCTTTCTCCTTCGGAAGTGTCCGGTTCCCTCGGGGGTTTGCTGGACAGAGGCCACACCAGCCCTTTCTGGGGGGGGGGTGTTTGCCCCTGTCAAGAATTGCTGCTCCTGGTGACCTGCTGGAACTCTTGGCAGAGGGTTTAACCCTTCAAATAAAGTCACTGATTCCCCAAGGAGCAAACCCAGCCAAGTGTTTTGGGTTGTGTGGAGCCTCCCCCCAGTCCCCAGCACGTGCTGAGATTCAGCTGCTTCTTTAGCAGGAGGTTTTCCAAGTGATCTTGCAGCCCAGAGCAACTCCTGAGGGTGTCCACCTTCCAACCCCACAGGGCACTGTCCTCTCCCCTCGGAGAGCTGGAATAATTCTGCTCCCAAATGCACTTCCCTCTCCACCAGCCCTGCCACTGACCCAGGGGGGATGTCCATGGCGTGCCCAACAAGCAGGAAAATTGAGACTAGAGGTGCCTTCTGGAGATCACCCAGTCCAACCCTCCCTGCTCAACCTCCTCCAGGTTGTGTAGGACCATGTCCAGGTGTAAAATGAAGGAGAACATCCTTTATGGGCAAGGATTTGATGCCAGGGGCTGAGGGTGAAGGAGAACATCCTTT